TTTGTAGTGACCCTACTTGCTGTGCCAGCGGTTGCGAGTTCGAGTTCCGCTGGGGGCATTTATATGTGTGATGAGCACGAATATTTGTACTCCAATGATGGGTGCTTATATTTATAATATGTATGTATTTAAAGTTATATATGTGTATCAACTATAGTTATATATGGTATCCATAACACAAGCCTCGTCGCTTACCATGGAACTAGAGGGTGCTGTGTATTAATGTCCCAACACATTTATTTATATTTATAATCACTAAAACACTGGGATGTTGATTAGTAAAAAAACGATCGATTCTTATTTTAAATTTCTTTATCGTTTAACATTGATGACTTTTATAAAAGCCTAAGACTGGGTTCACACGGCACTACACCGCACTTTTTTACAGTATTAGATTATAAACGTAGAAACAGCGAGATGTTCACACGATACATTTTCATTAGTGTGAAAAATGAATTGTCGCAGTTTTCTTTCAGTAATTATCCAGTTAGACTTTAATGTTGATTCAGTTTGATTGACAAGTCCTGTATCCGTTCAACGTGTTTAGCGTTAATGACTTAGTTTTTTTCCTACAAGGGACGTGCGATGGTTCTATGTATATAAGTTCTAAATATGCACCAATTTTTTTTGTTATAACGTATACTGCGAACAACATGAAATACAATGCCGCATGCACCCAGTCGTAGAGTAGTATATGAATGTAATCTAATATATAAATATCTCGTGTCACGGTGTTTGTGGTCGCACTTCTCCGAAACGGCTCGACCGATTTTAATGATTTTTTTGAATATTTGGTAGGTATGAGAATAGGTCGTAAAGTATTTTTCACCCTCCTACACCCACCCCCAACAATATTATATAAATACATAGTGACGAACCCGAGCGAAGCGAGGGTGAGTCGCTGTATAACATAAAGCCAAAGAATTTTTTTTTCAATTTGAAGGCGGGTGAAGCTACGGGTTCTGTTAGTATTACATAATTTTAAAAACCTTAGCTTTACTACCGCTATTTTGTACGATTTAGTGATGTTTTAGATAAAATGCAATCGATTGAAATCTTTTAAATAAAAACCTGTTTTGCTTCTAATTGGCCGCTTGTATAATAAATAATGTTTATAGACCGACATAGTACCTATCTATGTATTATATTTAACAAATTGTTTGCTACTTCTTTACGCTGAAACGCCTGGACGGAATTGGAGAAAATGTAATACACAGACAGAGAGACCTGTGGTAACATGTATAGGGAGTATAATATAAGGATGCATTCCAGCAAAGCGAGGATTGGTCATTATAAAAATATGTACATATCTTTTCCTAATATTATAAGATGCGAAAATATGTTTGGTTGCCAGTTAGTATGCCCTTCGTTCACGCAGCAACGGAGCTACTAATCGACGTGATTTCGTACATAGAGATAATTTTTGGATCAGATAGTGACATAATCTATTTTTTTGTTAGAACAAATTACCTGAGGGACGAGGGCTGAGCGAAGCGCGAGTAAATCACTATTATAATACCTATAATATATAATATTTAATTCAGCACGAACACAAGGCAGCAGCAACTCAGCACGAAAATGTATTACATATTACCGCACGGTAATGTGCTTCTTTACCGCTATTATATCTTTAAACTCTTTACGGCTAACATTACAGTATCTACTAAATCCCGTGCCGTGACATTTAAAATTAAGCTTTTTTAGTGTGGGCGTAATATTTGATACGTTTCGATTCGAATAATATATTGCTATAATACTCCATTATTTCGATTACTTACCAATTTTAGGTTTCTGTATAGGAGGTATTGTGCCGTGTGCACAAAATTACTAAAATGGTACCTACACAATTGTTGTGTTGAGCCGTCTGCAAAATATTTAAATTAGGAATATCATGATTCTACGTTTTATACAGTATTTCTAAATTTCAGGAAAATAATTTATTTTAGATAATGTGTGGGGACTTGTGTAAATAATTTTATATACCACATTCTATTTTATTTTACTCATTTCTGGACTATTAGTCTAGAAAGTTCTAGAAAGTACTTATTATTTCGTAAACGTGTACAATACAATAATGTATCGGCCTATATGTACGCCTTTAAACAATCACCCCAAGCTGTTGTCGCTCTTCGCTCTATATACGAAGATAGAAAATTGTGTATTATTTTTGAGCAATTGGTAGGTTGTACGCGAAAATGGTCGAAATAGTGATCGCATTGTTCTTCTGGTGAGAGGAGCTCGTGCAGTGAAGCGCACTTTATTACATTTTGAACACAATGAGACGTACGTACGGATGCAGTTACGTAGCTACGAGTACGAGTACAGTCATATTCAACGCCTTGTTTCACGGTTGAACATGCGTCACAAAGAAAATGTTTTGAATCGTTCTCGACGTTTTTATATCGTATTCGAGTTGATGCACTGCCTCTACGTGTCGTCGTGTACAATATACATAATACGTTATTAATATAATATGTATACTATTTTAATGACTAAAGTAAATAATTTATTTTAAACAAACCGCATACAAAAAAAATATTTAGTTACTATATGAGTAAATCATTTACGTAATAAATCATCAAAAAATAACTTTACTTTTAGGGGTCACAATAATTTTAAACACAATATAAAGTGAACACTGAAATTAATATTAATACAAATATTTAACATGTTTAATTAAAATCAATCATAATAACAATACATCCCTTCAGTACACATCTCTTTTACTGATTATATTACTTATTTGGCCCTTGAAATTATACTGAGAAGATAGTACTTGTGAATTTATCCACCTCGACTCGCAAGGGAAGTTGTTACAGCGTGAGTAGCGCAGTCACGCTACGCAGCCTCCACTTATCCATTGTTGCCTTGCGCCTCATGTGCTTTGACGTGTAGCTCGTATAATGCCTCGTGATTAAAACACCTTATAAGCATTAATAATGCTTCGAAATCTTAACTTAATTTATTTAAATGTTTATATATTCAATTCAATTCTGTTGTTGCTTAAATATTACACACAGAAAAAACTACCGTCTAAATTTCAAAGGTAAATAAACAACAGTAATATATATTGGATATATTATGAATTATACAGCTATCTCACGTAACTAACTTACCTAAAGACATTGATGATGATGTGATGTTCTCCTAGCCGATTCCGGCTACGGCGGCCAATCTCATTGAGACTAGCCAACTACGTAGGAGATATTATAGTGCTCAAGTGTACGCGCAGACACAAGTGCACTCTCTATTCCTATCACTCTCATACTCCGGTGGGACGACCACTCGACACGACCAGTGAGAGTTAAGGCGCAGGACCGACGGCTTTACGTGCTCTCCGAGGCACAGGGGTGAAACACCGCCAACTTCCCAACTCCGGGCTGTTACTGAAACTTACTATACAGAAAGACTCAATAACTAAACTTGGCCCGACCCTGGACTCGAACCCAGGACCTCCGGGTGTGCAGCCGTACATGCTAGCCACTACACCACCGAGGCAGTTAAATACCTAAAGACATTATATACCTTTTTATTACATAGTTAAACCTATGAGTTTATAATATTTCTAACATTAAAAATATCACAGATTAATAATCACAAATACAATCGCTTGTTTTAATGTAAAAAAAACAATGATTATAGATAAAGTCAAGTCATTTTATTAAACGGAATTATTTAATGTTCAAATATTTACAAATGTAAGCTTTATAAACTAGTTGCATGTAATATTGCTTATCTTTGAAGCTCGTAGGGGAAGTTATTACGTCAGCCTACCTACCTCAGTCACGCTACCAAGCCTCTTATTTTTAACCCCCGACGCATAAAGAGGGGTGTTATAAGTTTGACGTCGATGTCTGTCTGTGTGTGTGTGTGTCTGTCTGTGGCATCGTAGCTCTCAAACGGATGGACCGATTTCGATACGGTTTTTTTCATTTGAAAGCCAGTTTCCTTGCGGTGGTTCTTAGCTATGTTTGGTTAATATCGGTCTATCAGTGTAAGAGTATCAGCTCTTTTCCAAAATGATCCAAGGCAATTTGGCGTATGATTACTCGAATAAGATAAAATAATTTTAATTGCTCAAGTTAACATAATATGTAAATGACCACAACGATGAATAAAATTTGGCTTAATAAGAACCTTTAATCCTAAGTCCTTAATAACTTAAAATTATCTACTTTTGCACAAAAATTAAAATTAATTTAAAAATAGCCTTATGTAATAATAACCTTTTGTTTCGCAACTTCCAAATGAACAGACGCAACAGATTGTAATGTAATCATAAATATATGTTAACTATAGAAATTACTTTGCAATGCCTTTAGGCATTACAATAAACGAGCTAATAATAATTAATTTAAGCAAAACGGTTGTTGCTGTCAGTCTAGACAGCCCAAAAGGTGTGCCATTTATTACAGCCACACGTACATTACATGCTATTACTTGCATGATATTAAATTCTTTGAAAATAATTACTGAAATTGTAGGTTTACTTGAAATTGTATGTTATAATTAATATAATTGAAATAAAATATTTATATTTAGCCTCCCAAATCAAAGTAATGTGAAACCTGAAAACGGCAGTGTAACCGAAGGCGGTAGAAATAAGATACCTACATACTTGTATATTAATACTTTGAAATTATCCGAGATACATTCAGTAGTGACCTTCTATTTTAAGTAAGTCCAATCTATTAAACCGGTGACACAAAAAAAAATAATTACGGACATAAAAACAAGAAATAAGGTTTAAAATAAGAGTTAAACAAATACATTAATGAAAACAATATAAAATTTTAAAATTAGGTACTACATAAATTAAAATCAGATTAGTAATAGTTTGAATGATTTGAAGTGATTTACCAAGATTGGTCAAAAGATTCAATAAGAATATGTTCTTAATATGACCTTAGTTATTTATAGGTACTTATAAATAATTGTAATGTTTCTTTTATAAAAATATTAATATAATTTTTTTAACAAAATGTTTATTTCAATTCCAGGTCCCACAATGAGTTGTCTGTGATCTTCTAAAACTAGGCGTGACAAGCGCCTGCATACAAGATGACCTCTGAACGAGCTATCCCGCATCTGCGCGACATTTTCGGCCTGAATCAGCAGTACGATGGCAAGGCTTACGACGAAAATGAAGATAAAACCAAAAAGTGCGTAAAAAAGAAGAAGGACGACTATCGTACATACGCTAATGGCGACGTAAAAACTCTCGAAAGACATCTCAGCATGAAAAAGACCATACGCAAAAAGATTATGCGTGATCTCCAACAGGCATTCGTAGAAGACCCTAACGAGTTTAAGGTCGAAAATACGAGTCCGGAGAAATTGAAGGCAGAACTCAGTGCTGAAGCTGTAAAAATAGAGAAAAATGTTCGGAAAAATGATCCTACGTTCTTAGATATGCTCCGAGGCGAGACGAGGGGGGAGGAGACCAGGGAGGAACAACCTCCAGCGGAAAAGACCAGCTTCTGGCGGCGTCTCACCATGAAGAACAAAAACAAAAGATAATATGCTTAATCTCGCCGAGCAACACGTTACTCCGTTCAATATGTACTTATTCCCGACGATTCAGATTAAAGTCTGTCATATTTCCGGATTCGACAAACAAATAACGTCACTTTGTGCTATACTCTTATAACCGAATCTGGTTTTGTGCTTAATGAAATGTAGGTATACTAAAACGAGATTTGACTACGGTTACTTTAAAAAGATATTCGTGCATTTTTAGTTATTTTGATGGTGCTGTGCTATTATGGTTTATATTATTTATATCAAACAATGTGTATGTATGTAAATCATATGAATCTAACGGAAAAAAATATTTAAATTAAACTGCTAATAAAATTACGCGAAAACTTAATGACGTAAGACTCGATATGAAACTTTGGCATTTTGTTATTACTTGTCAAAACGAATTCAAGTAGATACTTATATGTACATGTATTAAATTTTACCTGGGAAAATCATGAAAAATGTAAAAAAATAAAATAATATTAATCTAATCAGGCAGAAATGTACAGTTCCATAAGTTTCCTTTAATAGGTACAGCATTATTAACACAGCGTTTAAATGATAAGTTTTTGCCAAACCAACGTTATTATTTCGTCACGCAGTACGTGCTTTACTCAATCAGTTTTGAGAAATGCTTTTATCAACACTGGTTACTGTTTAACAATATGAAGGTAAAGTATTACAGTAAAATAAAAACCTAATTTGGTTCGATAACATTCAAGTGACGTCCAACAAGTGGAGAGACTAGACAAGAAAATAACAAAATAGTAATAATTATAATCTACCATATCCATATATAAACTGCATATTAGTCTATTGATGTTATAATATTGGCTCTTAGGCCTTTAGATACTATGAATTTTATGTCTTTATACAGTATTTATAAAATAGATATACATACATTTTTAAATTAAAATAAAAAAAAATATAGCACAAATAAATATCTGTTTAAAGTTTTGTAAGTTTCTTATTGAGATATAAGTATTTTCAATTTTGGACTTACCTCAAATGTAAAATGAAGACTGTATTTACATTTCAAATAACTTTTTCTATAATTGCTAATTTATTTGTATCGTGTACCTTTTTATATCTCATATTTCGACTTCTGGTGTATTAAATGTGTTTTGTCTATTTATATGTAATTAGAAGGTTCTAGAAACAATTATTCGCATAATATGAGTAAGGCGCTTATTTTAAAAGTAATTTATTAAGGTGTCAAGATGTTTTATGGTAACGGAGTAATGTCGTCGGCCATCGTTACTTATAAAAAAATATCTCATTCTACATGTGATGTAACGTAAGTCTAGTAGTACGTAGAGTAAGGTTCCCGTAAGAGGTGTATTTGTGTAAGGTAGTGCGGCAATCTCTTGTTGTGACAGTTTATAATTATAATATAAAATAATTTTACACATTTATTTATTTGTTTCATTTTATCCTTATGGTTTTTATTTAATAAAAACAAAATAACAGGAATTTATCTTATAAATTAAAAGTAAGAAACCCATGTTTTAATTATGTGGTCAACAGATGGCATTACATGTATCGATTTATTTACAATTTTGTAACTTACCTAACAAAATAAACAACCTAAAGAAGGATAATAAATAATATATTGGTAACATTGCAATAAACTCATGATTAATTTGGATTTTAGACAAGAAAATATGTTGCTTTGGATATTAATTACGAGGATAAATATATCATTGATGAAGTCGATATAACAAAATTTTCAGTTTTCGATATAAAGAAGTTATTTAAATTATTATGATATAATAATTAATAATATCAAATTAACTAATTATAATAATATATAATTAAGATAATAAAAAAGCATAAGGTACAGAAAAAAAATAGAGCTATATTTAAGTTAAAACCATATTGACCATATTTTAAAAATTATTATATTAAGACGACACTCCTAAACCTAAAGTACATTATGAGACTGTGACTTTTTTTAAATAATTTGTATTTATTTAAAAATTACAATAGTGTAAGACGTGGTTTTGTGTTACACCCTAAACACTTTTTAGAGATATTTTAAGAGATTTTTCTGTACTAAGCCACTTTTATATAATCATTTGCCTAAAAATCTTTTAGAAATTGATGAAACTCATTTATTTAAGTGGAGAATAAAAAAAATATATATTAAATATAATTAAGACTTATCTATCTATAGGTACAATTTACATATAATAAAATTCTAAGTCATTCGATTTTTTTTTGGAAAATCTTATTGAAATAGTAATTATTATCGATACAGAGGCCGAATCTATAGTTTTTACATTTTTTGTCTGTCTGTCTGGGAACGCATCACGAAAAAACTAGTGGACAGATTTTGATAGCCGGTTATCCGGGTTAATATATAGGATACTTTTTACTGCGGGAAAATATCTCATCTCTGAAAATCTATCCTAACTGTTAAAACGTACCCAAAGACGGAAGGAAGGAATTCGAGCGGAGCGAGGTTGAATCGGTAGTTATTCTATAAATCATTGTCTTTTAGATAAAGTGTGACATTTGTAATTTTATTGTATTTATTACAAACTTAGGCTGAATTATTAACCCAATAATAATAATAATTACTAATCCAAGACCGCAATAACGTGTTTGATTTGATTGAAATGCTGCTATCTAATAAGTAATAGTTTTTTTGTGATTTTTCTTTTAATAATTTAATTGCTATATAAGAGCAGCGTGTTGCGCCATCTTTTGTCAAATAGCAAAAATTGTATTTAGAAAGTGATTATAATGACAAAGATTTCTCCACAGGAGGGCGCCACACGTATACGTGGCCTATTTACATTCAATCTGGGGTTAAGCAATTTGTTAGAATATCTTTTTTATACTTGGTTTATTTGCTTCTATTGTGTTCGCATCTTACCTATACAATGTATTGTACCTGTAAGTTAGACCAGCTAAAGGAAGACTTGAGAAAGAGAGGTGCATCCTGCGGTGGCCCTGACTGACTGATGGATCAACATACAGCCTAAACCGGTGGTCGTAAAAACATGAAATTTAGAGGGTGTATTCCTTATGTAATGTAGGGATCCGATAAAATCCGAAATTCATTCCCTAAGTGGGTAAAATAGGGGATTAAAGATTGTATGAAACTCTGTCATTCTTAATGTGAAATACACAGAAAGTGGTGTTTAGTTTTAAGATAAAAAATAAGAAATATATGTATTAGATTTTTTCGAAATTCATCCCTTAAAGGAGCAATAATTTTTTATATAATACGTGTTTTAGCATTTTTCCAAATTCAATCCCATACGGGGGTTAAATGGGTGATGTAATTTTGTATGAAACTCTGAGATTAATAAGTAAAAAAGTACAACAAATAAAAACGAATGTTCATTCACAGTAGCCGATTTAAGAGTTTTCAAATGATTTTCTTTAAAATGGTGTCCACATAGCTTTAAATATAAAAATTGTGATTTCGCCAATTTTGGTCGTCTTATTGCTTTAGCCTACAATTTCTTCAGCTTTTTTTGTCTTTCGGGAACAAAATTTTTTTGCATCCTGGCACTGCATAATTTGTCGTTTTAATTAAATTTTAAATAAAATGAAAAAAATAAAAATCCAACCACGCTATATAGCTTTACAAAATACTGAGCGCCATAGTTATCGCGACATCTGACGGGAGAAAAAGGTATCTCTGTATTTCTTCTCCATCTATGGAGCGGTAAGGAGGAGTCACTGTGTATGAAAATGTGTCCGTTAACACGCGTTCAATAATGGTAGTGCTGCGATATCGGTGGACTCATTTTAAAGGAAGCGAACTAAACGTAATTAGAGTAAGATAGATAACAAGGATGGTTATATATTTTACTAAATTGTTTTAGACTGCGTAAATAGTTCAGGTTTTGTATACTGGTATTTAATTAACTGCTTTAGTCATAAAAAATTTAAATTTTTGAACTCAACACACTTCATTTAGAACAGCTACATTCCTAGCGTAGTTTTTCGTACTAGCGCCATCTATTTTCAGCATACAGGTGGATATTTTTACAACTTGTCTCCCAGACTCCTACTTACCTCTACCCTCCATAGTCCATAACTCCACCACCAAGTTAAATCAAGATGGCTCTAGTCACTAAGATTCTGCCGCTATCGTGCTTTGAGAAAATTTAAAGCTAATTATTAGCACGAAAGTAAACCAACCCCTTATAAACATTTACGAAATGTTCCCTTCTTTTAGGTACCTAATCTTCGAGAAGGATATCTGGACTTGGAAACAATTTTAATGAGCCTTTCACAAAGCGATTCGAAATTATTAAAAGTAAGCGTTCGTATTAACCCTCATATACATCTAAATAACAGAATATGTCTAGATACATCTTTTTGTTAATGTTCTATTATTTTTCAAATGAATGTCTACTATATTTTCGATATAAACTACAACTTTTTTTTTTAAATGTCTGTGTTAACTACCAGATAAAATATTTTTGGTTAGATTTGCACAATAATTGCCTGCGTACCCAGGCAACATAATATATTATAATATTGCGAAAACTATTACATCCAATTTTTTGATAAAATTATTTAGCCATCAAGTATCTTTGCAAGGAATATAATATTACTATACTTTTTTTAAATAGGTAATTACATTACAAAAAATATAAATTCAAAATTGTAGTCTCTGGATAATATTATATTACTTTTTCCATGGCTCATTAGTCACTTGATATAATGAATAAATAATTTGGTGAATGTACATTCAACGTTAGAATTTCTTTCATTTTTACTTATTAATTTGAGTTTTTATTTAATATAAAAATTCAAAGTATTATCAAATCTGTGTTAAGACTAGTTTATTGTATAGGTATTTTTTGTTACGAATTTTATAAATTTAAATCGAAATATTATTTATATAGTTGTTGTAAAATTTTTTGATCTTATTTAGTAGGAATAGGGAAAATAAAACAATAGGGGTTCCAGATTAAAGTATTTTTATTTGTTGTAGGAAAAAAAATGAAACGACAGAATAGGCAAATTAATTGTATTTATTTGAATGTTGCCATATTTAGTATTATTAACATTTTCATTATATTTATTTTTTAAATTTGGAAAACATCTACCACCGCTTCGGAAGGTGTTCTTCTGTGGAGAAGAAGCGGCGCAAGAAACTCCACAGGCATCACCTTTTTTTAGTTGAATTTAAAGCCAATCATAAGTTGTTTTAATAAAATATTTCAAAACCTGACCTATGAAAAATATATATTATCTACCTAATTTCAAAACGTAAACTAATTTCTTACAATCTACTTTATAAATCTGCCTACATAATATTATGTCATCGCCCGGTTATCTTTTATAATTAATTAAAAAAGACCTAAAAAGATATTAATTAAGAATACTTATTGTAACATATACTTATATATATAATTTATCATTATCCTATATGGTAAGTTCTATATATGGAGTAATTTCATTGTATGTCCTGCGCATCTGAAAAATATTATCATGGGAGAAACACGAAGAAAGAATTAAATTTAAATATATATTAAAGTTACAAATAAACTTATTTGTATAATTATATTGGTATATTATTATAAGTCAATTAAATGTTTGATTTCATAACATTATGAATCATAAATATTTAGTGTACATCTTAATAATACTTTAATTAGTATGGTGAAAAATTATATTATAGCTTATCAAATTCTTATGTAATCCATAAATATTTATAATATATATATGTATTTAATATTTATTTACGAACCTAACACTTATTAGGAAAATATTATAAAAATCGTTGCTTATTTGTTGTTACAGTTAGATATATACTATATACGTTAATTTACGTATGTTCAGAGTAGAGTGTAAGTTTTCAGTGTGTATTTTGTTAAATAAATTTAATCAAAACATGTGTTTTAATAAAATTGACGCCTCGACTAAAATATTTAAAAACATTATTAAACGTACAAATCGTACCTACATACGTGAAACTCGATCTTGCGACGTCGTGAAGCTAGTAAAAGAAAAATAAATTGAATATTGGTACATACGATGTACATGTTCTGCTATCCATCACGCTCGCGTCGTCGGAAAAGATTTGAAGGGGATTACTGATGACAACTTAATATTTCATAAATGTTCCTTGTAGACAAAATCTATTTCGTACCTTTATGTGCTCGTGTAAGTTGTTAATTTGCTCATTTAAACACCATATCTTCATAATTTTGCTCATGTACATTGCCAAAACACCTGCTAATGTGATAAAATACCATAATATATAAAAAAAACATAACCTTACGCGATTGCTAGTTTAAGCAGCACAATATGAACAGCATACGTTTCATAGGAATAAACTCACAAATATACACACCAATAGACAGCACAACATACTGAACATACGGATGAGGTACTTGTGATAAATTGCTATATAAAATGCGTACTTAACAAATACCTATTTTACTGTGAAGTCCTCTACTTAGTAAGCAGCAGCAATGACTCGTGGGCGCGCTCAAAACATACCAAATAGCAAAACCAGCTATATCAATTATTGCTCATGACATCCATCACGCTTTAGTTACATAACTTTGATAAAGTCGAACATTTGGTGCAACTTACAGAAATGTGCAAATATTTGTTTCGATGTTTATCATCTCAGGTTTTAAAACGCGCCGTAGATTATCAGCTTTTAACTGCGAAACATACAAAACATCCGAAAAAAAAACAACTATTCATTATCGAAAGGTTGTAGATAAGTAAAGTGTAGGTACTGGATAGTTAGTCATGCGTGTAATGTATTTTACAACTATTGATTAAAAAGTGGAGTCCTCTACCGCTTCTTACAAGCGCAATCATGTATAGTGCATATTTGCTGCTGATTTTCTTCGTGAATCTGCACGTGTAATAACTGCAAGATATTTAAAGGGACACACAAAGAACTATGTTACAATAAAAAGTTATATTTATTATAGTGAAGTATAGCGAAAATTGACATGCTTCTGTTAGACAACACTTACTACAAGTAAGATCAAATGTTTTTGTACCAGTTTATAGCCAATGTATAATATCAGTTTAGAAGAATAATTGTAGAGATCATCCACTGCAAAAAGAGATCAAACAACACGAGAACAAGCAAATAATAAATTATGGAAAATTGTGATAATAATTAATATATTTTTTTGATTTTATTTATATCCTATTTAGGTACCCCTAATTAATTTTTTACCTGGTTTTGTTTAGCTTTTATTGTTCGCGGCCATATTGAGTATGTTTAATAATATCCGTAATAGGCCGTACATAGCGTCATTCTTAAGCCGCCAATATTTATCGTTCGCAAAGTATTTTTCTTATTTTTTTATTTCATGACTGAAAACATACGTAGAAATATTTTTACCTGTAAATACTAACATCAACTCCACCCGACTGAGTTGTTTACTGCATAATTATCTCTCGTTTTCGCTTTAGGGGCGATAAGCAGGCTTCGGGGAACTGCAAGAATTACATTAGGACACGGAGAAGCAAAAATATTCCTCCATTAAAATATTTATTTACCTATATTAATCTTCATACATATGATAACTGTTATTCATATTAAAATTGTACAGGGTACCTTTTGATCTGATTCTAATTTTATTTATCGCCACCTTGTAATTGCTGCCTGGCAAATATGAAGAGCGCGTTAACTGTAAGAATATCGAACACACGAAAAAAACAAAAAAGCATTTGAGCTTTATACAATAATAATACTTAAGAACATTATTTATCTAGAAATTAGCGTGTCGTGCATTAGTTACTTGTTATCTAATACCTTTTCATATTCTTATTACTTTTTGGTACCGAGGAATCGTGAACAGACGCACACGCCGAAGCCGGAACACGTGCAGAAACCGTAAACTGCAAAACGACTCAAAGACACGGGAAAAGGCAAATGTGTTAGGGTAAAATCTATGAAGTGACCTATAATACTGCCTCTCATGCACTAAACACATTTAGTTCCTGCTTAATAGTTAAACGATTATACCTTATGTCCGGACATGTTTCGCATATTACTCGTAATACCGGCAGAAGTCAACGCTATCGTTCAGCCCGGACGTCGCGTCAGATCAGTTAACTGCAAAACTGATTAAGAAAAAACACAAAAAAACAAAAATATATATGTATATACATAAGTGATCCCTATCTAAATTTATTTGAATGACCTAATTAAGAAACTATTATTCGCATTTCTGTTCTCAAATTCTATTATGAAATATTATTAGATATCATAGTAATTATAATATATAATAAGCAGTTTTGAATTACCGTTTTTTCCTTAGACCCGACCTGAGCTTTACATCTAAGGTCAGCACCGGAACCTCCCCGAAAAACATTATAACTGTAAGTTGACCAAAAATACGTAGACACGAAAAAATAATTTTTAAAGTAATATAAAGCTAAGAGTTTTAGAGAGAATTGATATACCGTTACTTCGTCCTATCGCCTTTATAAATATCGCTTTTCTTATAACTTCTATACCCTGTGAAAAGGTCTTAAAAAACTAAAAGAATATATTAGTACTGCGATTGCCACACTGGACTCGAAACTCGCATTGCCGTAGATATCGTTGAACTGTAATGAGATATTAAGAGACACGAAACAAGCTTAACGATTTAAAAATTATTACTTAAATAAATAAACTACGTACTCTATTTAGTGTATCTAAAATACATACGCTATGTATTGTAATGTGTGATATCAGATTTTGCGCCTTATATCTGTGCTTATATGGAATTTTCATGACAATCCTCGCCTGTGCATAAAACCATGAACTGCAAAAATATCATAAAAAAAACACAAAGACAGTGATGATTAGCTGAAAAGAACGTTTAGTGTTTTATCCGTGTCTTAGATGAAAATTTTTATTTATTTGTGACCGTTTTTATCACACTGTCTCAAGCTCTACCTTTATGCCTGCGTCATTTCCTACCTACATAATGTGGGAACTGAAATTATTAATATAAAAAAGGATTAAGTTGCTGAAAATATTATAAAAACATAGTATTCTACAAATAATAGTTATTATTATTTTAAAATTCGTATATTTCAATAAATTCTCAAGACTTAATTTTTATTTTATTACAGCCTTTTTTTATAACTCGTAACTCTGAACACGACAACAATTTGAATTAGAACATCAAATTATGGAGTATTAAAAAACACTTGCACATGAACTTTCACAAATTAATAACTACATCGATTTTACTTATATTTTATTTCTTGGTTTGCCAATTAAAATTAAAAAAAACTTTATTAAAATGGACTAAACGTTCCACTCCACAGCACATCACCAAAACCACTGTAGCCATTACTTTACTATTATTAGTATTAATTTTTTTCTTGATTTTGCAACTAATGATTACCAAGAAAAATATTAAACACACCTTTCCCATTAAAATGCAAATATGAACATAAGATCAACTTAAAATCTGTTAAATTTTGATGCAAAAATTAAGTAAGTCATTTCACTATTTCACAAATGAATCACAGCAAACCAGCTAAGAAATTGCTAACAAACAATGAAACCAACACTATATCACAAATAATACATTAACTTTATAAAATATAAAAACAGCTAGTATTTACCTATATTTTTATTCATTGCTTAGTTTCGATATTTTTATGTTTACCTACAAAAGCACTGAAAGCGTACATTACAATTTACGTGAGCTTTTTCCTGAGCGAGTAGCACATTCGCGCAATCGTATATCCTGATTCCTCCCAAAAGCATATTTGCTAAGTGATGTATATAATGTGATCTATTGTACAAACAATGTGTATGTTAAGTTTAAAAGTATAGATTAAAAACTGATCATCAACAATATGCAAGGGCTGAAACTATGTAAACGGCCACAGAAACTATGTTGGAAGTTGAGAATACTCCACTAAAATGGGCAGAATTAGCCACAGCAATGAGTTATCGTAAAAAATTTGATAGTGACATTCCACAAATTATCAAAGCCTCTATTAAAATAAAAAGCATTTAATACAATAAAGGGGATAAAGGTCTGTATATTACAAAAACACCAATGATTAGCGTTAGGATGTATAAAAATTATAAGCACATTGTCGCAAAACAGTCATGAAAATCTTGCATTGCCTCTATTGTACCATTGATAATGTGCTTTAAGAAATAGTAAAGTGATAAGAAATCTATCACACCATCTAAACCTGTAAGAGATCTTGGATTTATAGAACCATATCCATCTAGCTCCATGCTCATTCACGATGTTAAAGTTAGCAACAATTTTGGTGCATATTCATAGACCACAGGAAATTTTGTAATCAAAATAAACTGTGTCTATTAAATTATAATCGCTGAAATGCAAATAAAAGCATCTATTATGAGAGAAGACTCGGACGATGCAACACTGAAGCGAGGGATAACCAAAGAAAGACATTTATTGGATCAGTTAGCATTTTGCGTGTTTTCATTATTAATTTCCGTAACAATACCAAAACAAACCATATTTAACACAAACAAGCTTTTTGGAAGATTCCCGAGCTTACTATTATTTGCGAAGAAATTAACTGGCATGATGATTGTGGACTCTTAAGCAAAATTTGGTGCAAAATTGTTCTTCTCTCGAAGTTAAATGAAATCAATCATTTAATGTTGGTGTATTTTAATTTTTAGTGTGTTTATTTAAAAACAATCCTTTAGTGAAAATTCGTTCTAGTGATAAAGTTGAGCTGAAAATAAATCATTAGTTGGCCCTACTCGTGCTTTTTATTGTACAAAAAATATTTTTGTAAACTTTAAGCAAAATTTGATATTATAGTAATAATTATTTGAATTAATAACTACAATACCAACTGAACTGTGACTGATAAAATTGCGATTAATATATTCATTATCTTAGTGCATAATTTGCATTAAAATACATTTGATATATTATAACATATTTTAACACGTTAAGATTTTTCTTACAAATAGCCAACACATGGAAATGTTATGGGAATTTTAAGAAAATCGTTAAAAACAAGAAAACTGCACAATATTTAGTCTCATTATTGTATGATTGTATTATTAAAACTATAAAGAAATTTACGTACCCAGATGATTACCGATGATCGAATGATCCTAACAACTTTTAAGGCAAAAAGCATCTAATTAACGCGGAAGTCTGCAGACAATATGCTCTAGAAATATGCAAGCCTTTTCACACTTTCATAGCAACATTTTAACAAACTCGTGAAAATAATTAAACCAAATAATCCCTTCTAGCCTCATGCTTGTTTAAGAATAATGTTATCAATTTGCAAAATCGGTTAGCCACCACAAGTATTCCCCATAAATCTCTATATCCATCAACATTATCTTTGGTCTGAAATAAATCCGATTATTTAAGTTTATGAGGTAAGCATTATTAGGTTGCTCTACGCATTCGGTATATCCACATGGACAAGACGAACAGACTATCACGTGACACTTTAAAAAAAGAACTTATATACAAGCTTGCAAGACTAAAACAAACCTTCAATCATTATTAGAGCCATCCAAGTGCAAATTTGTGCAAACTGTGAAACGTGATGACAATCCCTAAGATACACACTAATCCATGCTTTACCAGTTTTAGTTTTCCGAAATATTCAATTATAAGGAACGTAAAGATAATTGTAAAATGCTTAATTGCAAATATGTTATATGCTGTAAGTAAAAAAATTATTAATGTAATCTGAAAAAAAAATGTCGTGTTTGGATATGTTTTTATTATAAATACAGTGCAAGATATTTAAACCCTCACAGAATAAAAAGCGAACAAAAATTACAGAGGTAAATATAATAAGGCTTAGGTAAAACAAAAGGTTAGTAATAAACAGTATTTAGAGATAATAATTGTGTCTAATCTTCAATCTTCTCTCACTCACCGTTACAATACTCTATCTAAAGAATATTCGTCTCGATATGCTCTTTTAAAATAATTGTATGTTGTGTGTTCTATTTTGTGTAACTTTTGTATTCATATTTTCGATATTTATATCATTTTATACTTTGTAGGCTACGGTTTTCATTGCAGAGACCTACTTTAAGATTAATTTCGAATGCATTTAAAATGTAAATTCTTTTTATTTCTGTATCAATCAACTTATTCGTTTGTATCTGAAGTATGATGCATTGTCTTCTTTCTTGTAAGTTTAAGCTTTTTTATCTATTTATACGCTTTATATTTCTATTTATAGGCTTTATACTCTTACATTACCAATACCTTCATTTTCCTCTGTGGAAATCTTATTTTTTTCTTATTTGAATTTATTGCTAGCTTTGTAAAATTTTCAATATTACGTATTTCAAATAAAGTCCCGGCTATACTTTCTAAACTTCAAAATGTGAATATCGGTGGAGTCATTAAATTAATTTAGCCGTTAATAATGTATTGTAGCTTTATAATAGCTTTATAATTTTATTATGCCGCATTATTATTTAATTATACGTTTTGCTTAAAAAAACCAACATCCGGTGTTTCTTATTATATAATTTATTCTATCTTCCCTTATGTAGCGCAAAGGTTTTTTTAAAAAACCTATTCCGTTTTGGTCACCGTATATAAGTAGATGATATTTTATAGTAGTTTTATTTTATGTAGTGTATATTTATATCTGTTGGCATGTTTAAGTAGGTACGACATTCTCTTATCGTGTTAAGATATCAAGATCTAAAGGACACTACGATCACTAAACTATAAAATTACCAACGCACTGGCACTAACGGCACATACTAATCCCTTAAAACTTCTCACTCATAATTGCAAACATTAGAATATTTTCTTCAAACTTCTTTCTCAAGTTGAGATTAATCTTTGATTTAAAACTTCTTTAAAATTAACCTTGTTAGACTATTACTGACTCTGTGTAATATCTAAATATCATAAAAATTGGCATTTTATTGGACTTGGCATTTCTTCTCTACTCTCATTATACATAGAAATCACTAGAACTTTGATAAAACAAAACAAGTAATACATACGAGTATCACCAAACCAACACACAAAACTCAACTCAAACTCGCACAAACACGAACTTCTTAAAACCACAACCACTACATTTCTAGCTCTTTATCGTATTTAATTACGAATCTTTTGTTAAACTTCTTTTCTAATAATTAAGATGATAAAAAGCAGTGTATACTCAATTCTGCTGGATTATTTACAATTTCTGTATCTTTCGGTTTTGTATTTTTTCTTCATTAAACATCAGTTGGTAATAATTACTTTCCTTTTTTGGTTTTTATATATCTATGAAACTCGCAATATTTTCTTTTGTTATCAATTTATAGATATAATTTTCAATAAAAGTATTCAAAAATTTTAATTGTAAAATGGAAAGGGCTAAAAAGAAAAAAAAGATTAGTTGCAAAAATAAAAAGAACTGTATGACTGATTTTTTGAGATTTATTTTCATAATGTTCATAACAATATTAACATGTTTGAAATACTAGGGGGTTATAATTATTTTTCGATTCTAAATAACTAAAAAAAATTACGAAATTATTTTGGAAATGAACTTCCTAAATATAACAATATTTGCTGTTTAATAATTGTATAATTATTCTCCGTACACAAATCACCGATTACGAGTTTTGATGTTTTTTATCCCTAGGTATAATAATTGGTACCTTAGAATTTTTTTTTTTTTTCCGGAGCAATGACTTCTATGCCTTTAGTATTTTTAAGTTTCTATTTAGACTGCTTAATTGTGCATTTGTATACCATTTTTTTTTAATAAAATAATAACGAATCTAAAATATTTTCTTTTCGAGTTTTAACTTGCCTCGCTTGATTAGTCCAATTAAAATCTACTATTTTTCTTTCTACATAAATTTAGAGAAAAACCTTCTTTTAATTTTAAGGAGTTTCTAATATATTTTTAATATTAATTTAGGGGCAATTTTAACCTTCCTACAAACTAGCCTAATAGGTGTTAGGTCAATTTGCTTATGGAAATTCTATATTGTATTATACATATAATACGTAAAATCTATGAGACTACGAGCTACCTTAACTTACATAATATATACCTATTATATAATTATGTAGTATAAGTATTTTATAAACCTAACATAAAACATAACCTAGCTTACCTATATTTATAGCTAGTGGCATAAATCTACATAAAAACTAAAATTGTCAAATGCTGAATGTGATCAATAGGTATAGCCTAAAGTAAATACGCAGTCTAAATCTAACCTTATCTAAAATATATGTATAATATGTCATCGCCCGGTTAATGCATATTTCCGACTTATCTTAGAAAGATGTTTTGATAACTAAACTTAAACTCGAATCTAATAATTCATGTACGATGTCATATTGATTAAAAATAAAATTGAATTACGGCCTAAAAGTGCAATACTCAATTACAATCATGAATTATAAATATATACAAATTATTAAATATATATAAATTATACAAACTGACTGATGTCAAATTAATTAACTTTATCATTAGTTATTAAGATCTTAATAGGCAATATTTCAAAAATATAATATTTGAACTTTGAAATTATGTTGTAAAAGTACTCCTAAAAACTTACAGATAATTAATATTTCGGGAACATTGTTCTAATTGAATCCATACTAAACTAATGATATTAACTAATAACTCTCGTAATTAGCTAAACTGCGAACAAGCCTGCCTGAAGCTCCGACTCATATAAACATCTGAAAATCAATCGATGATAACCATTACTGAAATCAGCGCTTACAACTAGTTTGTGTACTTTATACACTATGTTCTCCTAAGCTTTAATTACGAAATGAGGTATGTATATTAACGAGCTTAAAAGCTTTAAGAAGCTGCACGTCCTGTACTAATTATTAGTAATAGGCATATACTGTACGCGTATATTTATATTAAGGCGTATGTTACCCTCTCTAGAAATGAAATATTATTTCTCATGGTTTATTATAAAATTTTGAAAAATTAACTAATGCTACATGTATAGTAAAGAAATCATTTAATTCATTAATACCTGCGTTATCATAACTAGAAAGTTCCCTACTAGGGGACGTTTCTACTGAAGAAGACCGGATATCCTGAACGTACCGGCGCGAACCATTCAAGCATTATTTGGGATGCTAATTGTATTGGGCCTAATGTACGTATCGACCTGCCGTGATGTTCGACGATTTAAACCGACTCTGCAGAAAAAGCGTTGATAAATTTGATTAAAATTATATATAAAAGTCCTGAAATATAATAAAATCATTATTACACTTAATA